CTTACCCTCGTTCTTCTCGAGCTGCCTCTTGACCAGGCCGAGCTCATCGAGGTCCTGCTTCAGTATGGCGACTTCCATAGTTAGTGCGGCGGACGCCGGCAGAGAAGTCTGCATATGCATATTGACATCTTATATTAGACTCCTGCAATATTATTTGATCCTCTGTTCAGCTTTTCTTTGTGAACACCGAGCAAAGCATCAGGGGCTACTGTCTATGCGGTAATACTTCTACTACATTTTAAAACACTTACCTCGAAGCCTGTTAGAAGGCTGGCACAGGCTTCAGTCAATCCGCTCTTGGCGGACTGAACCTTCTGGATCACCGCACTCATGATGGTGCGGTGCTCCTCGTCGATGGAAGCGCTGCGAAGCGCTTCCAGCAGGCTGTCCGGTGCCTCTGGATGGGCAGAGGTCACCAGCACTGGCGTTTTGCCCCTCTTATAAGGGAACCGCCTGCCCGAGTCCGGAACCGTTGGAGGATCCGGCGCGGTGTTCGGCTGAGGGCCGAACTCGGAGCTCTTAGGGACCCCGTCCCCTCGGCTCTCGGAGTCCGGAAGGTCGCCTTGAGGCGCCTCCGGGACGGTCCCCCCTCGATCCGGTGCCTCTTGAGACAACACTTCAGCATCGTCGACAGGATGAGGGGAGGTGGCGGTCGGGACTGGATCGCTATCCATGTCCGACGAGCCCAGGGAGCCGTCCGAGGATACCTCGATATTAGCCCGTGGCGGCCTGCGTAATTATGTTCGGCGATTAGGGAAAGCAGTGCGACAAAGGAATCCTATGGGTTACTTTGGTATCCGAATACTTACGATCTCCCCGGAGGCTTGGCCCTGGGCAATCACTCGTCTTCGTCTTCGTCAGCGGTGGTGGAGCTGTCCGGAAGGAGGGTCCTTCCCTTCTTGGACCCTTCGCCCCCCCCCTCCCAGTTGGGGTGGCCTTCCTTTTTCTGTCTCCCCCAGTCGGTGGGGGAGCATCTTCTTCTTCTTCCTCGTCTTCGGGGGAAGAGTGCGCCGCGGAGTCATCGGACGGTGAGTCCGACGACGCCTGGCGTCGGGAACTCTTTCAAGCTCCCTTGGCCTTTTTGGTCTTCTCCGGCACCTTGCCGGAGTCAACATCTTCGCCAGAAGGGCGTCTGCGGGGCCTTCGGGCAAAGGAGCCGGATAGTCGATCTGTCCGGCCATCTTCTGTCAGTTATGTCAAAGGCACGGGAGTTTAGATCCCGCATAGAGTCCATCTACATAAAAATAAGTATCATGTGAAAGGTAAAACAACTTACCGCACTGGCTTGGCGCTTCACACTGAATCCGCGATCCTCGGTAATGGGGGGAGGGACCTCGGCGCTCTTGAACAGCACCCTCCAGGCATCTTCATGAGTCGTGTCGAAGAGCCTGTTCAGAGTTCGGTGCTGCGCCGGATTGAACTCCCACAAGGTGAACTCCCGTTGTTGGCACGGGAGTATCCGGCGGATGAGCATAACCTGGACTATGTTGACGAGCTTGAGCTTCTTGTCCACCATGTTTTGAATACATGTCTGGAGTCCGGTCAGCTCTTTTGAATTACCCCAGGACAGGCCCTTCTCCTTCCAGGAGGTAAGCCGCATCAGGATGCCAGATCGGAACTCGGGGGCCGCTACCCATGCGGGTTCGCGCGGCTCGGTGATATAGAATCACCCCGATTGCCACCCCTTTATGGTTTCCACAAAGGAGCCCTCGAGCCATGTTATGTTGGGCATCTTGCCCACCATGGCGCCTCCGCACTCCGCCTGGCGGCCGCCCACCACCTTTGGCTTGACGTTGAAGGTCTTCAGCCATAAGCCAAAGTGGGGCTTGATGCGGAGGAAGGCCTCGCACACGATGATAAACGCCGAGATGTTGAGGATGAAGTTCGGGGCCAGATCGTGGAAATCCAGGCCGTAATAAAACATGAGCCCCCGGACGAAGGGATGGAGAGGGAATCCCAGTCCGCGGAGGAAATGGGTGAGGAATACCACCCTCTCATGGGGCCTGGGGGTGGGGATGAGTTGCCCCTCATCTGGGAGCCGGTGCGCGATGTCGTCGGGCAGGTATCCGGCTCTCCTCGGTTTCTTGACATCTCCCTCTGTGACGGAGGAGACCATCCACTTGCCTCCCGCTCCTGACATGGTTGGAGAAGGTTGAGATGGAAGTGAGGACTTGGGCGCTAGAGCTCGAGTGTGCGGGAGCGGATGAGCAGAGGAGGAAGAAGGCGTGGATAGAAAGGTGAATCATTATCCCTTTATATGGGCGGACAAAACTAAGCGTCCCCACTTGCCTGGTAAAACTCGCTTATTCCCCAAGCACCGCAATTGATGGCGCGGTTGGGTTACCCACGCCCGTATTGATGAGAACCCCGTAATAAGGGGACACGTTCTCTGCTTTGACAAGACGTGTCGAAAAACTGCCTCGCGTTATGTGTGGGGCTTGTTAAAAGAAACGGTTCGAATAATCACCGGGCCATGACGTAACGTTGTGTTGCCAAAACAAGCCAGCAAATTAGATCTGCGAAAATATTATTCTCTCTATGGTAGAATGTGAAACTTATTTTGTAGGGTCGGACACTATCCTCGTATTCAAATTCTTCTGTGATGTATTCGGAGAAGGAACCCGCCTTGCAATGCCGAAGACAACTGCGCGCCAGACTCATCGTCATTGAAGCCTGGTTCTGGGGCTACTGAGGGAGTCCTGTATTAGGGGGTCTCCGGACAGCCGGACTATCTCCATTGGCCGGACTGTTAGACTATGAAGATACAAGATTGAAGACTTCGTCTCGTGTCCGGATGGGACTCTACTTGGCGTGGAAGGCAAGCTAGGCAATACGTATATGGATATCTCCTCCTTTGTAACCGACCTTGTGTAACCCTAACCCTCTCCGTGTCTATATAAACCGAAGGGTTTTAGTCCGTAGGACAACAATCACAACATACAATCATACCATAGGCTAGCTTCTAGGGTTTAGCCTCTCTGATCTCGTGGTAGATCTACTCTTGTACTACTCATATCATCAATATTAATCAAGCAGGACGTAGGGTTTTACCTCCATCATGTCCCCTGTCTCCTATTATCATCCGGCCTAGACGCACAGTTCGGGACCCCCTACCCGAGATCCATCGGTTTTGACACCGACACTAATCCACACAACGGTGCATCAATTTGAGATAAGCTCTACGTGAAAAAGATGCGCATCGATGTTATGGTTCCAATTTTGTGATCAGTTCATAGTTTCATCGACCGTAAATGTTTAATTCCGTGTTCATGTTTAGAGCTATTTTGGATGAATTTTGTCAAATTCATCGCGCACAGCTGACCGTTCGAATTCTTCTTTGATCAGTAGCTTCACCTTACAGTTTCACATGATTTTTGTGTTGCACATTTTCTGTTGCGACGATCGTAGACGATTAAATCCGACGTCTTCCCCATGAAGTATATATGCATATGTGTGATTTGTGTTAATGACACTCCTTAAGCTCGGTCTCTTCTCCTCTTTTCTGCTCCACCGGCGTCACCGCCGGCGTCGCTCCTCTCGGCCTCCTCTTCTGTATGCTGTTACACTAGCGCCACTGCGTCCTCTCGGCCTCCTCTCCCATGTCCTGCTACATATTGAAGCCATCACCGGCGTGGTTCCTCTCGCTTCCTTGCTCGCGTCCTACTAAAATGGTGTCGTTGCCATCGTCGTTCCCTCATGCGTGTTGTTCCTCTCAACCGTCAGTATGGTGTCGCCGCCACCGTCAGTGTCGTTCCTCTCAACCTCCTCTCCCACGTCCTACTACACTCGCTTGGTCGTCGTTCCTGTCTGTGTCGTGTCCCACGTTCTGCTACACTGAAGCCATCACTGACGTCGTTCCTCTCGACCTTCTTGCTCGCGTCCTACTACAATGGTGTCGTCTCATCGTCGTTCTTCTCGGCCTCTTTCTCCGTGTCCTACTACACTGGCCCCGTCATCATCATCGTTCTTTTCGGCCTCCTCCTCCCCGTCCTACTAAACTGACGCCGCCATGGCGGGTACACTGCATTTTTTTCTTCATCGTCCTCTGCCCCAACGCCCTTCTATTCGTTACTCCGCATGAACTTTCTCTACGGCGATGGCGCTAGCAAATAGTTCACTACACAGCCGATGAGGTCGCTTGCCCGCGACTCCATGCTCGTCCTGTCGAACGCGGCGCCGCAACCACCGTCTACCGTTGTCGCCGAGACGCTCTAGTCTTAATCATATTCCGTGCAAGCAACCAAACAACGTGCACTCATCTGACGACATACAACGCGAGCAACCAAACGCGGTGTGTGGAGGCTTCGTTACGATGCAGGGAAAGGACATGCATGCAACCATACTAAATGCAGATATTAATTTTTGGCCTGCATTTGCTTAGCCAGGCCTAATTGGAACAAGTATGAAAAAACGATGCATGTAGCCAAACGCGACCTTAAGGTACGCAGCCATGCCCATGTCACTGTTGTCAGCTGTCATCGTGTGGAAGGGAGAAGAGCGAGGAGTATAGTGGTACGAGGGACTGTGACAAGAGATGATGTATCGAAAGCAACGGCTCGATTCACTGCCACCTCGTGATGCCCGCCGACGACGGTCGGCACGGCACCGCAAGGCTGACGCCGCGGTAATAATGCAAGGCATGGCTTGGCAGGACGCTCGTGCACCGCCGAGGGAGTTGTCACGCAGTGCGCAACGGCCTCTGCCAACACGAAGATTAAAGAAAGAAAGAGCCACCCGCGGGTCATCATGCTGCTTAATGTACACCGCCACTGGGCCATCTGCTGGCGCGATTAGCGACAAGCGTGCAGCAGTCTCAGTCTCGGCCCAACGGCTACCTCAGCAGCAGCCGGTCAACGACCACTATTAAACCCAACCCGAGCGAAGCGAGCCGCACTCCCCCGTTGTCCGCTTGCAGCCCACCCACCGCTCTCTCCCTCGCTCCTCGCCCAAACCCAAGAACCCTGACCCAGCCAGCGCAGGACCCGAGAGAGGAGAAAGGAATGGAAGAGGAGGCCCGGCCGCCCCTGCTCCCGGTGCGCATCCCGATGAACGGCGAGGACCTGGCCCCTGCCGCCCCCGGCGCGTGCGCCGTCGGCGGCGGCAGGGCGGAGATCGACACCTCGGCGCCGTTCGAGTCCGTGCGGGAGGCCGTCGACCGCTTCGGCGGCAGCGCCGCCTGGAGCTCCCACCTCGTCAACCGCATCTTCGCGCACCACAAGGTCAGTCCGACCTCCTCCTCCCCGATTCCAACCTTCTCGCCGCGGCTCACCATGGCCCGATTTACATTCTTGGCGGAGGAAAGGAACCGAGCCATATCCTGTTCTGCAGACTAGTTTTTGTTCTTGCACAGTACTACACGACCGTATCCCTGTACTTTGGGTCACATAGTTCGTCATTCAATTAGGAGCAGAGCGGAGCGGTTCTTGTCCCTGATTCGGCGGCAAAATGCGGCTAGTAAAATCCGCCAACACTGATGTTTCTCTTCGTTCTCTCGATTAATTTTGTTCTTGCTGCATTTTCCGCCTGCAGAAGCAGAACCAGACTGTGTGCATGGGGACTGAAGACGAGCAATGCGCCAATCTGGCGGAGCAGACCGCGCAGATAGAGAAGGAGCTCGGCGCCAAGGAGAGGGAGACGCTCGATGTGCTCAAGCAGCTCGAGTCCGCCAAGAGGATCATCGCAGATTTGAAGCTCAAGATTCAGAAGAAAACAGCTGAAGATGCATTGCAAGCTGAAGAAGAGAAGCAGCAGCATCCAGAGAGCAACTGCTCTCTCACTCAATTGTCCACAGCAGAACCTGAAGTGAAGCAGCCCGAAGGAAACGCTGAAGCTGCAGAAGAAGTGCAGATAACAGAGCCTGAAGTGAAGCAGCAGCCTGAGGAAAATGCAAATTCTGGAGCTGATGTGGACATGTGTGCCGGTCTAGACGAACAAGAGCAGCAGCAGCAGCATCCTAACTTGGTTCTGATGGAGCTCGAGCAGGCAAAGTCGAACCTGAACAGAACCACGGGTGATCTCGCTGCCATCAGAGCCTCCATCGAGTCGCTGCGTCATGACATAGCGACGGAGAAAGTCTTGGTGGAGAGGAGCCGGGCGAAGGTGTCCTCGGATGCCACCTTGGTTTCTTCTCTGAAGGAGGAGCTGGATCAGACCACGAAGAAGCTGCAGACGCTGAAGGATCTGCAGAGAAGGCGCGAGGATCCCTCGGACATCTTCTTCGAGATCAAGAGGATGACTTCAGAGATAGAGCAGCTCAGGAATGCAGCAAATGCGTCGAAGTCTGAAGCCATGATGTTAGCTGCCGAGATTGAGCAGACCAAGGCTACCATCGGCACTGCTGAAGTGAGATGTCTTGCTGCCAAGAAGATGGAAGAAGCAGCAAGGGCAGCCGAAGCTCTTGCACTAGCTGAGATCAAGGCCCTACTCTGCAGTGAAGCCTCAGCTGAAGACCTCCAGGGCACAGATGGAGTGATCCTTTCAGTGGAAGAGTACTCCGAGCTTGCTTCGAAGGCTCGAGAGGTCGATGAAAGCTCAAGGAACAAGATTGCAGCTGCCATGGTTCATGTAGACGAAGCCAACCAATCAAAGTCAGAGTCACTCACAAGGCTAGAGGAAGCCAAAATGGAGGTTGAGGAGTGTAAGAAGGCACTGCAAGAGGCCCTGAAGAGGGTAGAGACTGCCAACCGAAGAAAGTTTGCGGTGGAAGAGACCCTTCGCCGATGCCGGTCCGAGACCGGACACAAGAGGCGCTCATTCCGTGGCTCCCCCAAGTTCAAAACTGCAGCACATCGTCACAGAGATGATTCTCACTGCATGGACATCGTCGATGTTTCAGACAACTCCATGAAGCCGACACTGTCGATCGGGCAGATACTGAGTATGAAGCTAATGGGGCCTGATGGGTACGACAAGAGCGTGTCGGATGACACGAGTACGAGTGAAACTTCTAGTGTCTCCCTTGGCCAGATCCTGAACAGGAGGCAGGCAATCTTGACTTATAGCAGTGATACAAGTGCTAACAAGAAATTCTCCGGAAAGAGGAAGAAGTTTGCCTTCACTGGACTTTCAGTTTTCTTGGCAAAGCAGGCCAAGAGCAAGAAAAAGAGAGGGTCAGATGAGAACTGATGTTAACTCTGCCAGAACACTAGCTAGTTACTGAGTGTTTTGACACCCTCTTTCCATGTCTTGTGTTCCTGTATAATGTTCCTAGGAGTATATGTTTCTAGGTTAATGAGGTTCTGATATTTCCGTAGCTCCATGTACCAGTTCATCAGTCTAGCATCTCCTGAGTGATGTTAGTGGTTAGATTTAGACTAGTATCATGTGCTCTATGAACATGGAAGATTTCAGTTGAGTTGTTAGCTCTGTATCATGTACCCTGTGGTCATGTAAGACATTGATTTGTAGTACTCGGATCTGTTTGGGTAAGCCTGTTCTTTTCTTTTTAGATCAAACGAGCCTCCAAGCCCCCATTTTCAGATGAGAAATAGAGTATCTTTACAAGAAGAAGCAATAACAGCCATACACCCCCAAGATCTACATCAGGGGTGCTAAACTAGAATGAAAGGAAACTACATGCTACAGGAGCATAATACACTACAGGAGCATAATACACTACAGGAGCATGAGAAGTGTATTTACAAGTAACAAAGCCCCAAAATCGTTCACTGGTCGGCACACATCCTTCTGACCGTAGACCCCCAGCCATGCCCTCTCTTGAAGATTTCACGCAAAAAAAAGGGAAGATTTCACTGGTCACTTGAGCAAGTTTTCTAGACACCACCAGCAACATTTTTTGCAATCCCTCTCTGCTATTGCCTTTCAGCAACTCAATGAACTAATCCCAGCAATGCAGCAAATTGGAAACTCGGCAGATAAATGAACATATGTGTGGAAGACAGACCAGTTTTCTGTTAACAAAATGCACAAGCTGCTAGTAGAAGTGTAGAACCAGGCATAAAATTTTCTTCTGGCTTCTTTTACATGATAGAATCAGCACTCAAATGGAAAAACTTCTTGCTTCAAACTTATGAGTGTGCTCTCTGTCAAGAAACTCAAGATCATGCCGAAGAAACAGTTCTCCGCCTACTTTGGGATTGCCGGTTTGCTCATACATGTTGGGATCTCATTGCCCCAAATAGGCACAGAGGAACTTCAGCATTTGATGAAATAATCTTCCTGTTGCAAGCTTTCCCCAATCAAATTGCCATGGATATTGTCATTATGGGATGCCGTAATATTTGGATGCAGAGAAATGGAAAGATCTTCAAGAATGAGACTCCAGGACAAGAATCTTTGAAGCAGGGATTATAGCATGACCTGATGCTTGTCAAGCATAGAACCAAAAGAAAAAACATTGCCTGTCTACAGCAATGGATTAACTTTGCTCTCCAATCTAGTTCTTCTGAGTTGATGTTTTTCTACACCTTAGAAAAACAGGTATTGGTTAGGCTCTTGTGTCAGCCTTTTTCTTTTTCCTTCCTGTACATACTTACTATATTAATGAAAATTACTATAGAACAATTGTTCTATGGTTTCAGGGTAAAAAAAACATTTTTGCAATACTCTTCTCTGTAGAAAAGTCCACGAATCCAGCAGAGAACATAAAGAAAAGATAACATTAGTGGGGTCATTAGGAAGTACACTTTGAAAGCAAGATTTGGTTCTTCTTTTCCAGATAGTCCATAAAAGTCCAGCAACACCATTAGTGGGGTAAAGCCTGTTCTTATTTCTGTTGTGCCTGGACTTGGACGAGTATTTTTCCTTGGTTAGACAGAGAAAATACAATCTTAGAGTTAGATCTGCGGCACTAAATACTGTACACATTAAAAAAATGACTGGAAAATACTGTACATATAGGTTAACAGAGGGCTAGTTAACGGTACGTATATCATGTGCTCAATGAAGTATGAACATGGAAAATTATTGGTTCAGTGTATCTTTATGATGTACCATGTGCACATGATAGACACTGGTTCAGTTAGCTCTGAAATCATGTACCTGTAGACATGGATGACACTGATCGTACTCCTTCAGTAGTATTCTGCTATCTTTTGATAAAAGACCTTTCTTACTGCTCCCTGGAGTAGGATGAGAATTGCTCCTTTGAGAAAAAGTTTTTAAAAATACTTATATGTAGTTTTAGTCAGTATATACAATCTTAGAGTTGGATTCTCTAAATACAGTACATATATAGGTTAACAAAGGGCCAGTTAACAGTAAGTATATCATGTGCTCAATAAAGTATGAACATGGAATCCTCGCAAAGAAAAAAGTATGAACATGGAAATATCGGTTCAGTTAACTCTGTAAGATGTACCCTGCGGACATGATAGACATCGGCTCACTTACCTCTCTAATCATGTATTAACTGTGGACATGGATGACATTAATCGTACTCCTTCAGAAGTATTCTGCTCTCTTTCGTTAAAAAAACTTCTTACTGCTGTCCGTGGAGTATGATGAGTTTTCTTCCTTTGTGAGGGAAGGAATATCTGTAGTACTTGTACATTCATATAACCTAAAGAAGGACGAACTGACAAGAAGTCGATATGTCCGAGTGGTTAAGGAGACAGACTTGAAATCTGTTGGGCTACGCCCGCGCAGGTTCGATCCCTGCTGTCGACGATGTCTTTTTTATTTCGGCTCTTTTTTTGCCGAGCTGGGCCTTCTGCCCTCTTTTTTGAGACCTTGTTTTGCAAATTTTGCGCCCATGCTGCTTTTAGGCAACAACAACAAAAAAAAAACAGTCACAGATTAAACACACCTTATCACTACCTCCGAGTCGCCATGTTTGGCTTTTTCATCCGCATGAGCCTAATGTAATAAATGGAGAGTGGTTCCCCTTAAAAAAGTGAAAGATTAAACATCACCCGCATTCCTTTCATATGTTGGGGACAAAAAAAACACTCCCACACCTCTAACCATAATCACCGTATTGCTCTCCATACTAATGAGAGCAACCCATATAATCGTTGACATGCTCTCCATGATGTGTCCAAGTGCTTCCCACGTTTACAAAATTGTTCCCGGCATGCTTGGTTGAGGTCATGCATCCATGCATGTAATCTACAGATCCCTTTCATAAGTGATCCTAAAAAAAAAGATCCCTGTCATAAGTGACCGAAGAGGAAAATCGCTGCAGCCTCCGAGCCCAGGTGCGGCCTTTTCTATTTGGCGCTTCAGACGCCGTTATAGCGAAATCACTAATTGAGGAATACTCGTTGTAAAGATCACTTCAATTCCCCTGGTTGCGACAAGTGGTGCACATGCAGCGCGCCATTTGTAGCAACCTGAGAGTTTTTCCTTTTTTCGTAGGTCCGTTTATTCAAAATGTTTTAACTCTCATACCGTGCGTCCAAATCTTGAACGGCTTTCACTGTTGGATTTCTCACGTCGAAATCTTCAAAACTAGATCCCATGTTGATAGGTTTTGATGAATTTTTTTATGAAAAAAACGGACGAAAAAACCGAACCGGAAGCACGGGTTTTTTCCCTTTCCGAAAGAGGCATGTCCGTGCCTCTCACGAAATCATAACCATGCCTCTCGCGGAAGCAAAACCGTGACTCTCACGAAAGGAAAAAAAAATACGTTTTTTTCGTTTCCAAGGAGGCACGGCCATGACTCTCGTGAAAGCACAACCGTGACTCTTTGCGAAAGCAAAACCGTGACTCTCGTGAAAGGAAAAAAACGGAATACATGTTTTTTCCCTTTCCGAGAGACACGGCCGTGACTCTCGTGAAAGCACAACCATGCCTCTCGCGGAAGCAAAACCGTGACTCCCGCGAAAGAAAAAAATAGAAAACGCATTTTTTTCCGTTTCGGAGAGGCGCAGCCGTGACTCACGCGAAAGCACACCCGTGCCTCTCGCGGAAGTAGAACCGTGACTCTCGCGAAAGAAAAAAAACAGAGAACGCGTTTTTTTTCATTTTCGAGAGGCACGGCCGTGACTCTCGCGAAAGCAAAACCGTGCCTCTCGCGGAAGCGAAACCGCAAATCTCGCGAAAGGGAAAAAAACATGTTTTTTTGTGTAATTTTTTATTGAAAAGCTAAGCAAGACCGGTGAAAAACCAAAGCATCGAAGAAAACCCAAAAAAACAGTTTAAAAGGCCGAAAACGCGTGCGAAAAAATAAAAAAATAAAATCTAGAGGGAACGCCCAGAGCACAACACGTGACGAATGACTGAGAGCGCGCCAAGTGGCGCTGATCGTTGTGAGGCTTTTGAAAGAGCGCTCTTTAACTAGTTTCTCTCCCGTTATAGTGCATTCTGCAACTTGGCGCACACTTCCTTCCGCTATGGGCAAGCCAACTTACTATTTTTCTGTTTTAGATCCCAAAAAACATGAGTGTGACAGGATTTGAACGGTGCACCTTTCGGTTTAGGACCTGTTGTGCTAGTTTCCTTTTTTTTCTTTATATGCAGCACTGAAAAAAGAAGTTGTTTCCTGTTTGTTTTTCTCTCTTTATTTTTTTATTTTTCTTTTTTGTTTCCTTTTTCTTTACATAAACTCGCGAAAATATTCTTCAAAATTGATGAACTTTTTCCAAATTTGATAATTTTTTCCAAAATGTTTGGTTTTTAAATTAATGACATTTTTCAAATTCAATGAACTTTATTTTTTGCAAAATCGATGAACTTATTTCAAATTTATCATATTTTTGAAATTGATGAAATTTTTTCAAAACAATTAATTTTTTTCAAATTTATATTTTTTAAATGATGAACTTTTTTCCAAAATCGATGAACTTTTCCTCAGATGGATAGAACTTTTTAATAAAGTCCGTAGACCTTTTTTATTTCGTGATTTTTTTCATAAGTATTAAAAACTGGCTGGTTTTTCCTACCAGAACAACAACACAAAAAACCAAAAAAATACTAGCGGACGACCAGTTGGGACGAGCGTGGGATGAATCGCGTTAAAACCAGTACAACTACGTCTTGCCTGTCACAGAAACCAGCAACGGATATACTTTCAGCCTGTCTCAACTGCAGCATATCCTCTCGGAAAGTTTCCTTGTCGAGACCAACCAAAAACAGAATCGTAGAAACGACAAGCTCGATAAATATGAACTTTTGGTCCAACACACCGCCAAACAGCATCGCTGAGGGTTTTGGGAGACAAA